TTCGGCTAATATTCTAATGTATCATATTTATTTATAATTTTCATTCAAATTTTACGTTGGGTATAATCATAGAACAAACAACACCACTATCAACTATGGATAATGTGATATCTCATCACTAGTACATTTTCTGATTCAAATTATTATAGACGAAAAGACATAGGTTTATAAAATAGATCGGGAAAAAGTGCAAATTATCTAATTGTACTCTGCAATCTTCCCAATTGCCAAAATCCCTGCACTGACATGTTAAAGTTTGATTTCAACCTTTCAAAGTCTATAATATTTATTTTTGATTAAGCAAACGGTTATCTCCATCTAGTGTTGGCGCCCTAATGTGAATCTTGTGTATGAATTCTAAAATATATACAAGTGTTCTTATAGATGCATGTCTAAAACAAATTTTATTTCAGTTGTTATTTTCCAATTCTTCACATTTTAAAATAGGGAGGCGGCAATGAGTACACTTCCTCACCATCCCTTTTGTCATATAGCGCTTCACCTGTTTAGGTCTTATTAATCCTTGGCTTTTAAACGTTTGGGATGAACGTTCCCGATGAAGGTAAATCCAGAAAGAGCTTTGGACGCATGAAATTAATCATGTGTTATTATTACTAATAAATTCAAATTGATAGGTTAAATACATGGTGATTTTCAAACGAGTGCTGGGGGTCGTAGTTTAAGCACTGTCTTGCCCAATGCCAAGACTCTTAAAAGGATTTTCGATACACGCGGAATATAGGAGTAAGTGAAAAGACGAGGCGAAGTAACATGTTTCCCAGTGGATAATGTTACCTTTTGAGTAAGCAAGCTAGAAATAGAAAAGAAGATAATTATGGAGTAATATGTGTGCAATTAAAGTTACAGTTCCCAAATTGCACCGAGTACCCAATTGCACCTATTTTGTAAAATGAGCAGCGGAGGTCTTACAGGTTCTCTTAGAGACAAAACAATGTGTATTTTTATAATTTGCCCCTATGTAAATGTCTCAACATAGCTAAATATATACAGATAAACACATAACGGTCACATAATATATCAACAGACATGACAGATGAATAATCCAGTGGAAAATGAAAAAATCTATGGAACGTCACATGCGACAGCCACAACAAGTTGACTTTTAAAAATGAGCAAAAAGAATATTTCACAGGCATCTTTAAAAATGCATAGAAGGATGGAATATTGTCAAATTGTTCTAAAGATGTGGATAATTAAAAAGAAACATTAGTTATTCGATTTTTACGGATGTAGAGTAGAAACGATGCTATTAAGGTACTCGCATTACGATGTGCGTCATTTTCACAGATTCTAACTACCACAATATGAATTTTAAGCTTGATCAAAATGCAAAATAAATACCAGTTAATTAAAATAATAGGATAGGATTATGCTTTTGTATCTTTCTTTCTTAATAAAAAATGTTATAAAATAACTAAATTCTGAATGAACAGGATGATATAATGGGTGATTAATTTGTATATTTACATGTGAATATTTACACTATGAGGTCCTATGAGTGAAAATGAAGTGCAATAAAATAGTGAATACCATATTCACGTTATCTCTTTATTCCTCTATCCTAAAATACTTATCTTAAAGTTACATATAATATCTTATGTATTCTGATGAAACACCACTGCATATCTCGTTTTGTGATTAAAATAGATGGACATGAAAATAATGCACACGAAATCAAATACAGTCATGTACTAGGTAAGTAAGTACTTGTTATTCACACGGCACCGGTAAACATACTTTGCAGCGATTTACCAGATGAGAAATATACATAGTGACAGTTTCGTTGTAGACATTCAATTAAACAAATTTAAAGTAATGTCTGCGAAATATAAATCTAAATACACTATGTATCAATGATAGGTATGTAAACATTTCTTACCACCAAACTAACAAACACCTCTCATAAGTGAAATAAAATGTGACATATTTCCTTCAAATATTTTAATTTGGAATAACTTAAGGACCAAATACACAAAGCATTATTCATCAGAAGCAGTATCATTAAATAAAGGTAAACAATTATTAGCTTGTCATCTCTCGTGAAAGAATTGAAACATTTATCATGTTAATATTACGTATATTTTTTCACAATTTGTGCAAGGTCTTTTTGGCTGCAGTCAAATACTGTATGCGTAAGTCATAGCAAAGTTTAAGTTTGATCGAAATCAAGTAAGTTGTTTAATATGTTTAGCGGATACAAGATGTCTATCCCCTTTGTATACAGAACAAAGAAAGAGGCGGAATAAATGAAAGGGTTAATGAAAACTCATTAGTCGCAGATAGACGGATACACATCATGGCAAAAAGACGAAAAACGACTAAAAACATACATTACGAAAACTACATAAATAATTGAAGAGAGAGTAAAACACAACCCACAAAAAACCGGGGGTGATCTCAGGTGCTCCTGAAGGGTAATCAGAGCCGTCTTGTTGCACATGGGACGCACAAATTCGATGTAAAGTTTCATTCGGTGATGTCAAAATCGAGAAAAAGAGGACAGAGGTGTGGCTACGACAATTGAAACATATCTGCGGTCATCTGTGAAACATATCCCATAAAAATCAATTGACTCATGATGGCGTAACACTTTCGAAAGGTTGACTTCAACTTTACCACTAAGAACCCTTGTTTATTGGCTTTCTCATAAGCAGCAAAAATCTATCAAGAACTCATGATATGAAACTAAAGCATTGGAATATGGTATCAAATGAGCTCATCTTATATACCAGGCTAAACATTCTGTACTCCAGACGCGCGTTTCGTCTGCAAAAGACTCAATAGTGACCCTCGAACTGTGAGACATATACTCTATATGCAGGCGCTGCTGGAGTGCTACTCCATAGAAATTTAAACTTTACAGTTGGAAAGCTGAAATCGTGTCTTTTGAGTTGACACTTCTGTGTTGACATGAATTATCATTGATATGGTCATAATTATAAATATACTGTTTACAAGACTTTGAATTTTTCGAAATACTTAGGACTTTTTACCCCATGGATAGATAACCTTAGCTGTATTTGGCAAACCTTTTCGGAATTTTGAGTTCTTCATGATCTTCAACTTTGTTTTTTATCTGGCCATTTTTACTTTTTTATTCAAGCGTCACTGGTGAGTCTTTTATAGACTTTATTTCAAGTACGCTTGGATAGATGCGTTCAACATATTTACTTAACTTTGAATTAATTAGTGAATTGACATCATCTTTATAGCGGAACGTGAAGTTAAAGGATAGCGCTAGCTTCTTTTCGTTCTTCATGAATAGCTCCTGTATGTAGTCTGTCTCATATGAATAAATCGACAAGTTGGCAAGAAGAGGATCACATTTGGTTTCCATAAGAACGCCGATTGTCTGATGAAAAACGCACCCAAACGTAGCAAATATTGTGTCCATCCAAAAATCTAGGATCTTGATGATGTCATGCAGTTCAGAAAATTTGTGCTTGAATCAGATCGCTTTGTTACAAAATATGATGTATCCCTTCCTTATACAACATATTAACATATACATTAGCCTTTTTATGAAGTTGGACTAGTCCTTTCACCCTGTCTGTAAATTCAAAATGGGTTATACTAATGTATGAAGTATGGAAGTCAAATGTTTTTATACTATTGATACCAAATTCTGTTATCAAGCAGTTTATGTAACGTGATTTACAAACACAAACATTGTTATTCGGGGCTGTTTCTGCGAAAGAACAACATATTTGTCATAGAGATAAGACAGGTGTTTAACAACAGGTCTTTGGTGATAGATGTGACATGAGTTTATTAACATACCAAGAGGTTCAGCCTTTAACACGTGTAATTTCTTATATCTAAACATGATTCACATAAGGGTTAATTAATAATTCAGATTTTCTATTTCATTTTTGTTTCAATTAATTTCGCTTGATAAAGTTTCAAATCCAATTCAGCAATATCGATACAAAAATTTTGAATAGCTGTGACTAAGTCGATATCACTGCTGGTTGACGACCAGTCCGAGACTGTATCAACTGTCTTATGTTAGAATTGTGCCACAAGTCGTGATTGGTAGCTTACATATTGATGAATTTCGTTCTTTACTCGAATAACTAGGGTCAAAACTTCCTGAGACAAAGTGAACATAAGCTGATTTCGTCTTTTCTGTTTTGGTGTCGTTTTTTGTTATACACTCTGCAAAAGAGAAACTCGATATATTTTTGAATTAGAGTTTACAATAAAAAAAGAATATTAGATAATTAAAGATTTGGCCATTGATTTATTAAAGGTGTATTTAAAATATCAAATGCCGAAAAAAAACAATGCAGTTACCGTGCAAAAAAACAACGTTTGTGTAAAACTTGTTGTTAAAACACCCGTCAAACTATCGCGTAGAAAAAATTTGGTGTAGAACATGCGACTGTCATTGTTACTGGGAAAGAACGCCATGCTAAGATTTAACCAATCAACACGTAACAACATCAATACCAAACTAAATCGCCGACAGTTTGACGTGCACCAGAGCATTATTTCATGTCTTCAGCAGAGTTTAAATCAAACTGGGTCAGCTCATGATCTCCCTATAACTAAAACAACATTAATGTATTGCCATGGTCTTCAAAATCACCTGATATGAATCCTATAGAACATCTTTAGGGCGAACTTGATATACCTCTCCTCATATGCATACTCCATCCCAATCATTGGACCAACGCAATTTAAAATTGCAACATGAACGGCATAGAATACCACAGGTCCGAATATAAACTTGATTCGATTAATGCCAAGGAGAAAAAGAACATTGCTAGTCCCATATGATGTCACAAAAGAAAATGATTTTAGTGTCACTGGAATTTGACTCATTTTATCAGTTAGACTGTTTTTTTTTCCCAATTCTTTGTTCGGTATCCTGTAAGACGTTCGAGTTAAAATCTTTGGCTCAATACACCATGCATTACTGAAAAAGAATGATTTGAAGTTTTGAAGAAAGATACATTATGCGTTTCTTTTTTTTCAGTGTATCTATACATCGCAATCGGAGCATTGACACCACCCAAATTTGAACGTAGCTTTACATAAGAATTCAGAAGGCAATGAAATATCAACAGTCAATGAAGGTAGGACAATACCATGGCCAAAATAAAGGTGAAAACTCATTTTATATAAAGCAACAAAACATTACACACAAACCTAAGTTTGAGGAATACGAAATCCTCCCCCGTAAAAAAACAGAATTAGTGTCATGAAAAAAAAATATGGTTAAATTATCTTCTTATCTAATATTTAAAGAATGCGTAATTTAATATCTTGATTGACGTGTGTAATGACAGAACCCCTTTAGGTGAAAAATTCAGAAAATACAACCTAGTTCATATTAAATGGTCTCCAATGTATAGGTATACAAGAATCTTGTTTGTTCGACTTTGAGTGTGACACGATTAATCCCCCCGTGCTGTTATTGTTGGGTTGTTTTTTTTTCGCTTTCTTTGCTTATGTGCTTGTGTTGTTAGCTTTAAGAAAATTAGTAAGTTAAACTTTATCTTGATGAGGCATATTCACAAATATTTGAAGATGAGGTCTGATGAGCTTTTCATCCAATAACATGAATTTTATGAGCTTTGTACATATAGCTTAGTTTAATAATTCCTATTCTTATCGTTTAATACAGAAATGATGGTTAAGCCGTCTTTCATGAATATGCCGTTATTTATTTGTGCGATGAATATATAAAAACTTGAAATCCATTTGAAATTTCGGATAAGCTATAAAACTGTCTATCTCGAGTGACATAAATTATTTACAAAGGGTTCAAATATTTTGTTCTATTTCTCATTATCTAGAACATGATTAAATACAGAAAGTGACCTGGACATTTCCTAGTGATAGATTGGAATACGTGAGTTTCATAACTAGGTAAGGTCTAATTGGTGCCTACCGAGTTCCGATATTTACTTTATTAGAATGTTTAAGCATGATTTGAATTCAATTTTGATGACTGAATAACATGTATCAGTATGATAAATGAAGGTTAGACCCTTTAGAAAAAATATGATAAATGCATTTAGACCAAACTCATCTTTTTACTGAACAACATAGATTCAACATCTCACTCTCGCACTTCAAACTCCATATTTGATTTATTGGCTAGTTTGGACCCAAGTCATACCATCCCAAAAACAAAAATTAGCATTGATGAATCTTTTGTATCTTCTAAGAAATGCGCGTTTGGCGTACAATATTATAAGCCTGGTATGTTTGATGATTTTTTTATCATGTTTTAACTAGTTCTTAATATATTTGGCAACATGATCTGCTGATATTATTATATTTTCTTTGACAACAGAGAATTGAGATAGACGATGATGCACTACCTAATCTAATTAGTCTGTCGTTACTATTTAACAACGTTATTCTGTTTATATTGACTTGGTTGACAGGAGGATGTCATTGTTTGATGATGAAATGTCATTGTTTGATGATGAAATGTCATTGTTGATCTTTCCTATGATTCCTTTGTCATTAATTCTTATTTTATACAGGCCGGAAAATACATACTGGGGCTAAACTTCATGTTTTGCGGTTTCATTTTACAGCTTCCTCAAACAAATATCGAATTTGTTCATTTTTCTTTCTAAATATTTAGACCCCAACTGAAGTGTTGAATAATAATTTGTATATCTCTGTTCTTAAACTCTGTTAAAAGACTTCTGGGTCAATGTACTTTCAAATTTCAATATAAAAACTAGAGGTCACGGACCTTGTCTTTTTCGTTTCCTTAAAATACATTGAAATTAACGAAATCACAGTTATTTTATAAGGGCTATATAAGAGAAACTTATTTTGTTCCTTATTGAGGAAACATTAAACGATAGAATCGGTTAAAATTCGTTGAGAGAATTGCTTCTCATCAATACTTCCGAAATATCAAATACAAATAGGGGGTCACAGGCTTTATTTCTTGAAAAAAAAGACACAAATCTATCAGATTCAATATAATTATCTGCCCTTGATTTTAAAAGGATTTGTTTTGAAAATTTTAAATAGTCTACCAACACTTTATGTTTTGATAGTTTGATCTAAATATTTCAAGTTTTATATGTTTCTGTTTTATATCGAAGGATATTTGGTAAAATATTTTGAATCAAAAAGGTATTTTCGCAACATGCCCAGAAGGAATGCTCAGAAAAAGACACCGTTTTACCTTTAGTTTCGGTAAATAATCGATATATCAACTTTTATGAAAATGAAGACCAAATGTATGCGTCAACGCTGTATTCAGGTTAAACATAGCAAAATATGAATCCAACGCGACAAAACTTGTTTTTTCCTTTCGATGTCGATTTTTTTTTATTGTTGCTGACAGCCAATATTGAGCCAGTTAATTTCGGTAAATACAAGGGAATATATGTGTACAGTTTTGAGTACTCATGATCCTACATCATGTCGATACTTTTTATCTATATTTTGACATTGCACAAGGTCATACGTTTCTCAGACTGTTTATGATGTCCTTACATTATATCCGTTGGATGTGAACTGATTGATATGAAAGTGTGGGAGAATGTGATATTTTATTAGTTAAAATTAGGTCATGCGTTTCTCAGACTGTTTATGATGTCCTTACATTATATCCGTTGGATGTGAACTGATTGATATGAAAGTGTGGGAGAATGTGATTTTTTATTAGTTAAAATTAGGTCATGCGTTTCTCAGACTGTTTATGATGTCCTTACATTATATCCGTTGGATGTGAACTGATTGATATGAAAGTGTGGGAGAATGTGATTTTTTATTAGTTAAAATTTGCTTATAACTAGCTTTCAGTAACTGCGAGTACTCTTATATCTGTGCATTGTGTCTATTATTTTTAAGTAAGTTGTTTTTGTGCTTAGTAACGATCTATTGAGTTTCACCATTTGCAACTGATTTTTACAGTTTGTTCTTAAACTGTGCTGTTACACCATGGTCCCAGGATAGGCGGAGTGGTGAAAGCTCACACAAATGTTTCCCATCGCCACAATTTTATGTGCCTCTCCTCAATCTGTTATTCAGTGGTTGTCTGTCGTATTGGTTTTCCGTATTTGTTTTTTTATAAAAGAGAGGAGAAAAATTCCAAAGGGATATTCAAACTCATAAGTCGAAAACAAAATGACAATGCCATGGCAAAAAACGAAAAATGACAAGAGACAAACAACAGTACAATAAACACAACATAGAAAAACTGAGCAACATACATTATAACTAAAAACTAGGAAGTTAGTTTTCTCAGTGGAACTGTTTAAGATTTTTCAAGTCGGGCCTTTTAATAGATAGCTATACGGTATGAAATTTTCTCATTGTTGAAGGATTTACGGTGATTTCTGATTGTTTATATCTACGTCATTTGAACTCTGGTCGATAGTTGTCTCATTTGCAATCATTAAACTTAAATTTAACATTGTTGCCGATATAATGGAATTCTATGTGACTATCATACAAGTGAGAGGTTTACCTAGCTATAAAACCAGGTTTAATTCCCCATTTTCTACATAAGGAAATGTCTGTACCAAGTCAGGAATATGACAGTAGTTTCCCATTCGTTTGATGTGTTTGAGCTTTTGATTTTGCCATTTGATAAAGGACTTTCTGTTTTGAATTTTCCTTGGAGTTCGGTTATTTTGTTATTTTACTTTTCACCCAGTTGATACGATGTTCCATAACTTGCATCTCCTATATTGATTTTCTTGATAGGAGGTTTCTGCTTACAAGACGGCTAGTAACCAAGAGTTCCAATTGGGCAAGTTGAAATCATCCCTTCGAATACTTAACGGACGCCATGTTCCAATTGTTGTAACCACAATTAAGTCCTTTTTTCCTAAAGTGTGACCTACCGAATTAGACTTATGACTGGCTCTATACTAACACAAATAACACGATATATACCGCGTGTAAAGCAGGATCTACTCACACTTCCAGATCATCCCCGGTTTTGGTGGGGTTCGTTTTGCTCAGTCTTTTGTTGTCTGTGATTTTGTACACTGTTGTTTGTCTTTTGGTTCTTTTTTGTTTTTGCCATGGCATTGTAAGTTCGTTTTTTACTTTGAGTTTGAATATCCCTTTGGTATCTTTCGTCTCTCTTATTATCAGTTCAATTATTATTCATTTGTTTATGTTTCTTTTTTTACAATTAGAGTTAAGAATGAGATAAAAGTCATCAAATTCATAGTTAATTACATGTCGATAATTGATGAAATATAAACACATAGATTGCCAAACAATTTCATTTATTTTAGATTGTGGATTATTTACATTAACATCATTTTGATAATTGTTTTTTTTTTAATATATAAAAAATATATTGCAATGGAATCACACATTACTGATTAGAATTTTAAACACTTAGTCAGATCCAGTATGTGTTCATATTTTGTTTAGCCCTGGCCTTTATGCAATAGAATATTATTTCTTTGTCAGTATTATTGGGTTAAAACAGTAGAAAAAAACAATTGAGAGGTCTTTCCTTTTCATATTGTAAAACATAAATTCCCATAGCCGCAGAGTTTATTGAAAAGCTTTAAAAAACCACATAAAACCCTTAAAATAGGGTAAACTACAAAGATCATTATCTAGGACATGACCATGACCTTTGACCTTATAATCTTCATGATGTTCATTGGTCCCCGATGCCATTACAAAAAACCAAATGGGTCTTGAAACATTAGTTAAAAAGATAGCTAATTATGTCTTTTCGCACACCGTCAAAGGGGGTTATGCCTCTTAAGGAAAGGTCATATATCTTCGGTCAAAATGTAGTAAAGATCCTCCTTATTGACCCAATATTTTCCAATATACAAGACTTTTGAAGGTATAATGGTTTCTGAGATCATCCCATACCAAGTAAAAGGTCAAATGTCAAGGACAACCTTAAAATGATAACGTTCAATTAATAGTTCAAACATTTTCCACTTTTCAATATTTCTATAGGTAAAATTGTTTCTGAGAAGGTATAAGGTCAAAGGTCAAGGTCAACCAAACAATTTACATAAATTAATGATCATAATGAAGTCTTAGGTGTTTACGACTTACATTTTCTGAGTATTAATGGCCAACAGACATCGGTTAATTTTGATTGGGGAATACCAAGGAGTCTTTGAATCTTTTCGATCTAAATGTAACGAATTACCAGGGTATGGTCCTCAACAAATTCAATTTTCATTTTTAGTCTACCTATAATGGTTACGTTGTTTTTATGATAACAATGTTTTCGGTTTTAGGCAGATATCTCTGTACCAACAAAATGTTACGACTCACAATGTGGGTTCAGGATAGGTATTTGTGACACCGAAACAAAGTATGAACCTGAAAGCGACATGTCTTACCGTTATGAAGGGAAATTTTGCCGGAAAGAGAATAATAATGATCAAAAGAAATACAGTAAGGGTTTCCCAGTAAGAAAAGGAAAGACCTTGACTTAAATTTCATTTGCGTGCAAACAATTAAAAGACGTTTTCTTTTCATATTGTACAATATACATTCAAATAGCCACAGAGTACATTGAGAAGCTTTACAAACACATAAAACCCTTAAAATAGGGTCAAAAACATCAGTTCATTATCTAGGACGTGACATTGACCTCTGACCTTACTACTTTTAGGAAGGGCATTGGTTTCTAATGTTATTACAAAAGACCCCATGTGTTTATGACCTTTGATTTCATAGTAATGGCCTTATAATGTATTTAGCACAACGTCAATGGGAGTCTTGCCCCTTAAGGAAAGTAAGTCTATTCGGTCAAAATACAATAAAGTTCCCATTTAATGACCCAACATTTTCCAATATACAAGACTTTTGAAGGTATAATGGTTTCTGAGATCATCCCTAACAATAAATGTCAAATGTCAAGTTCAACCTTAAAAAAATTGACCATGAAGCAT